AGATCTCTTATCAATTATTTGACTTTATTCATGGCAGAAAAATATGTATTTCTATATATAGCACCAAACAAACCAAGAATACAAGGAAAGGTACAATGGAGGTTTAGCTACCAAAGCTGAAAAAAATATTTTTCCACTTTCTAGTTAAAACTATTCATTCATATGATGGAATTATTTGGAAATTAAAAGTTGTCCAATAGCCAAGACTCTTGTGGGTTTTCTTTTCTTTTCTCTTCCCATTGACTCCTGACAACAACATGGATTAACTTATGTAATTTTCAACTAGCATTTCTGGCTGTGATCTGTCATTGCCTACTTTCTAATACTACAAGGAAGTGACTGGCCCCCAAGGTCATCTAATTGCTTTTGTGTCTAAAGCAGGACTAGAACTTCCCTGCTTCTTCTGATTTTTCTGCTTCTAGTCCATCAGACAAAACTGGCTACCTTCGTTCAATTAGGCAATGCAATTCCTCCTCAATATTAAAAAAAATAATTCTTACTATCCAAATCCCTATAGAAAGTTGGAAACAAGTTTTGGTTCCTAATTTCTCCCCTTTTCTATTTCTTCGTCACCCAATGCTTGATATGACTAATTAAAGGAATGAAAGATAGAGAACTTTTTAGGATTAAAAATTTGATTATTAACTGCAACCTTATTTTTTGCAAAATAATTGACCCACAAATACTTTCTTGGATTCAAATGAAGAAAGTTTTTTTTAAATCCTTGTGTCAGGATATTGTAAGATATACATTCTTCAGTAATGGGGAGGCATATAAACCTAAGTAAGTGACCAAGCTAATAAATGTGACTTTATGAAAGCAATATTTAAAGAATGGCAACCTGTACATTTGTTCAATTCAGTGGTGACTCTCCGGTATTAAATAAAACTCAAATGAGGCAGATTCTTAAAAATCTTTAAATCCATGGCAAGAGAACTTAAGAGTTTTAACTTAATAAATTCATTTAACATTGTTTATTATCTGAATTCCACTTGTATCTATTTCAGCAGTTTATTTCAGCAGCAATATACCATACACTAAGGATGTAATCTAGTTTTTAAAGAAAAGGCAGTACACTTATTTCAATAGGCAGAACAAACATAATTTAAAAAAAAAACCCAACAAAAATGAAATGGAAGTAGCCAAAATAAATGCATTTGTATTTAATGATTAACTCTAGATTTTTTATGTATTAACACAAAGTAGAAAACATTATATTAAAACACACAGGCTAGATAATTAGTCGATCTAGCCAAGTATTACCAGCTCTGAAGGACAATAGTATATGCCCTAAGGCAGCAATCTCTTATTCAGTTTTCTTTGACGTAGAATGGGGGACTGTCTATATGCAGCATATATTTTATACTCCTGAGCTATGGCCAGGTATGCTGTGTGCATATGAGATTAAGAAAGAGGGAGAGAGTTGTAGAAGGAACAAGATACTGTACAAACACCATCAACCTACAATGTGTGTGTTTGATGTTGTATAAGGTGTCTGAAATGGCAATGCCAGAAATGACTTCAAAAATTAGTTGCATACTATATGAAATAAAACTGCCAACATTTCCTTTGTACTTTTTAAATTTTTGTTTGCATGTTTGTATAAATCACAGTCTAAAAGTTGGTCTCAAGCATTATGGATTAATTTTATAAAAACTTATAAAAGTTTACTACTTTTATGTTAATAATTCCATTGACCAATCATTAATATGGCTGACATGGTAATTACTATGTTACTGGGATATTAGTATTATAATGGGTATTAGTATTCTAATGGATATTAATATTTTTTAATTTTATGAGCAGTCCTTTGAGATAACGGTAAAATTAAGAAATGTTAGTGCTCAATCAGGATGCAGAGTATTTCAGTGTTAATTATTCCCAGCTCTTCCATACTGTTTTAATTTACAAATTACTTACTATATGTACTCTAAGCTTTATATTTCATACTTACAATATAACCATGCAAATAATATGGGGTCTAATAAATTAAATCTGGACAAAACTGAGCATTATTATGTTTAACAATCAAAAATGGAAATTTTCATTTGTGAGATATTTCCAAGAATTCAAGGCGACATCCAATATACCCATTTATAAAGTTTTAGCTAATGAGGATTAGCTTCTCATATGACAGTTATTTCTTTTAAAAGAAAAGGGTTCTTTTTAAAACAAAAAATAAAAAACCAGGATGTGTTCATTTTGCACCAGTGCAGATTCTTCATCTTATGAAATATATACCAAGTAATTGACAACATAGTCTATAAAAGTTCATCCTATAATGAAACACATAACATGTATAACAATGACTATATGTATAAATATCATGTCAATTGCAGCAATTACATTAATTATATTTATCTTAAGACATTAACCTTTCAGGCTTTAACACAAAAACTTGGGTTTCACTTCCTTAACTCAATATCCAAGATTTTCCTTGCCAGTGTAAGGAAAACCAAAGGCCCATTCACATAAAGCCCAAAAATCCAAAATGGTCTGAACAGAACTGCGGATTCACTTCAAAACCATTATCTTGCCTGTTTCGTTAAAAAAATCCTTCTCCAATCTAGGTCTTCATTTATTTAGTAAATGCAAATCTTTCAAAAGTTAATAGTTTGGCATATTTTTAAAATGCGAAGAGATAATGCAAAATTGCTTCTACACATTTTCATACCATTCAAATCTGTTCAACTACAAGCTTATGTATTAGAAACAATAATTTTGTAATCTTTTTGCATTTTCTCTGACAGTACTAAGAAGAAAAGAAAGTAAAGGGGAAAACTATTGGCCTTAATTTGTAAGAAAAAAGATAGGAAGAACAGTCTCTAACTAACTAATCCTTGTACTACATATAAAATTTGAATTTGTTTGGATCAATTCTAGATATGATTATTTATCCTTACTCATTTGTGAAATGGATGTTTCAGCCTCCATACACTGTGACCATTCTCTCCAGGCACAGCAATTCAGCATGTTCAGGTCCACTTTATATTCCATGTAACTATATTGCCAGCAGTCGTGTGCATGGTGGTCTCACACAGGGCAAGTGATGTCCTAGCAGAGTCTGTGTGAAGTCTACTTTATAATACCCAAGAGAGGAAATATCCCTTTAGCTCTCAATTAGTGCTGACAAATCCATGTCTTTATGCACTCAGCTATATATGTTATGGCCTTTGAGATGCTTGATTCCTTTCCTATATAAACTGTGCCCAGTGGGTGTGAAGGTTACAAGAAGGTTACAAGTTCCACTATTAGCCACTAATATTTTGGTCCTGTGTTGTACTCGGCATAGACTATCTATCTCTGGATTTTAAAAAATGGATGTTCAACTTCAATCTTCTCTTTTAACATTAAGTTTACATTATAATATTGAGGGTGTTTCTCAAATGCAATCATGAGTACTAAAAATCTCTTTTTAAAACATAAATAATAATAAAGTCTTAAATCAAGATTTCATAAATTTCTAGAAACTATTAATAGGCCTCCAAGAATCTGAAAAATCATATTGTTTTAGACATTCTTTCTATTTAATTAGTTGAATAAAAGTTATATGTAAATGCAGAAAGATCACACACTCACAATAACAATAAACACATTGACTCATTTACCAGATTCAAATTAAGCAATGGAATAATGAGGAAGAATGTTAGTCAGCCGCTTATAATGAATGTGTGGTATAATGCACCACATTCAAATACCTCATTTAAAATACATGTAACATTTTTGAATTGGCTAATTGTTTATAGTTGCAGCAACTAAAATTCACTTTCACATATATTTACATGCAAACCATGCCCAGGATTATAAATACAACAGCATAGTCCTGAATTCTCCATCAAATAGCTTAAATTGACACTCAAGGTTTCATACAGCACTACCACTTCCCATTCCCTGTTACTACATAGAAAACTCTTTTTGGTGATGAATTAGAGGAGGCAGCTGGGGTGAACAGGCGGGAACCAGCTGAAGTATAGGGAAGACAAAAAAATTCTGCTAAATACACAAATATCTGGATCATGAGAATGTCTCCAGACTGACTGAATTATGACCAAATGCTTCAGTGACAAGAGAGAATTTCCTTAACCAAAGGGTCTCACATCAGATGCTTATACATCTGACAAGATAAAATTGCTCCCCATACACATATATCCCATTCCACATGGTTTCTGAAACTTCAGAAGAACATCTTTATTCAAGGAGTGGAGAGAGCTAAAAGATGGATGTTTGACCTTGCCTCTCTCCCAACCTACAGGCAAAGATCTGCCCTGTTCCCATTCAAATGTGTAGGAAAGAAATATTCAGAAATCTTGGTTTAGAAAGACATCCAAGCTTTGATGGAGACTCTCTGGGATACATAGAGTTTTAAATAGAATGTGGCACACTTTGAAAATGGAGGAAAAAGCAGTCCTGCTTTAAGAAACCTTCTTGTTAAAAGAAATATGACTTCTTTTTTTTATTCAGAATCATGTCAAGCTGACTAAAGAAATAGAAGAGAGATGGTGCACATATGTGGCCTGATGTTCTTTATCTGAATCATTTTCACAATCTAGAAAGCCCAGATATAAGGTCCATTACTTGATTCTGCTCAGTTGCAAGGATTGAGGACTGGCAGATAAATACCCAAATCTTGCAAGCTAGACAGTGGATGCTCCTTCTCTCACTGATGGAGAGAAAAAAAACTGCAATAGAAATCTTCGTTTTACATTATTTAGATGTCCAGAAAGAAAACAAATATTAAGTCTCTTTGTTTAGATTTACTAGACACTGAACAGCATAAATTAACATTAGCCAGATTGTTGTTTTTGTCTTAAACAAGAGGCTAAAGAGGGAAAAAATGACAAAAGAATATACTGTATGCAAAATAAGAAACAAAGCAGAATACTTGCATAAGATAAACAAAATATCTCAAAGACTAGTATTTGATTATGTATTATATGCATTTTCTACTATAACATTTTCTACCCAGGTGTCATTTTATACATGATCTGGATTTCACTTACTGTTAGATGCTGGAACAGCCATGCCCTCATGATATTTGTGGCTACTTTGGGAAAGATGCCGCGCTTTTTATGTCGCTTTTTGTCCTTATCTGGATCATCATCATCACCTGTGCTGGGAGAAGCTACACTGTTGTCCAAGCCGTCACCTGTAAACATAGTGAACAAATGTCTCACTTTAGTTATTTTATGACTAAAAATTAATTGGGTAGGTACATACACACCCAACATGTGTACTAAACACACACACGAATAATCATAAACCTAATGAAAACTCACACTATTTCATGAAATAATTTTAAACCTATCACAATTTTTTTTGCTGTTGTGAATTCTAAATCACAACTGCAGCACAATATCATCTATTTTCTGGTTGCAGCGCTAAGGATGTTCCTTCAAGTCCCACTTTAAGATGCTAACCATTAAAGCTGAGGTTTTCTGAATGCCAATAATGTGCTCTCTTACTGAGCTATATACACCATATATCCAAACCAGATTGAATTTTATAGACTTTTTAAACAATGCCAAGCACTTACAACTAAAGCTATTTGTAAATATGGAAGACATTATTTGGAACCAGGTCTGGGAGATTTAAATAAGGTGAATCACTATTACAAATTAAATGTTTTCACATTCTGATGAGAAGTTACATAATATCATCTTCTCACATTAAGATTAGAATATAATTATATTTTGGACTTTTCTATTTGTTCACATGCTGTTAGGCATTCTCTGTTTCTCATAAAACAGGTTCAAATTGCATTAAAATGTATGTACTTTTTAGGAAAAAAATCCTTAGGAAGGTATACTTAAGATAAAACCATATATAAATATTTATTTGGGGAGTTAAAAAATAGCCACACATATTTAAATAAAACTTTTGTAATCCTTTTTTCAAATTATCATATAAAAACAAAAATAGAGACAAACAAATTGTGAATGGACACATGCAAATCCAGGGTAGCGCAGAAATAAAATGATTCATTGAACTCTTATTATTGTTACACCATCTACAACCCATCAAATGCCTGCCTTTCTGAATTTTATTAGTGAAACTCAAAGTTAAATTTATAGAAACCAGTTATTTATGCTGTGCTTTTAGCTTATTTTTTCATACTGCAAGAAACACAGCAGTTTAAAATCTGAAAAGCATTTTTCAGGATAGCTTAGAATAATTACTTATATTTCAATTTCATCTTTTTCATACAGACAAGGTGTCAAATTAAGAGTTTTCAACTGTCACAATCTTTATAAGCATTTGTGTTTCGATCTAATTTAAGCAATTACTATTAAAAAAAGAAATACTTAAAAAGCCTTTGTTTTAAATAGGCATTTTAGTTATTCAAAATAATGATTGAGCACGCAATCTTGTAAGAATTTATTCTTTAAAAAATGAGTGTGACTACCTTCATAGAAGGCTCTTTGCTTCATGAAAGTTCAACTGAGGCATTCATATTTCTAAAAAGGAACCCTCATAGTAATACTTTAGATGTCTTAGGCAGATAAAAGTCTTTGAAAGGTTTTATTCAGGGAAGCAATTCCCCATATAAAGTAATGATTCATAAAATAAACATAAGCAAACAACGGGCATTTAAAATTTCCCTGTACTAATCCACATCCTCTATTCTGATGGGCAATTAAAAAGAGGCAAGGAAGGAGAAATGTATCAGGCGGTCAATGGTTAAAAGTAAAAGGGCTTCTAACGTGATGACATCCTATTGCTTGTTCTTTTTTTAAATATACTTTCAGCTCCCTTACCACCCATCCACCCCCCCCCCCACCCTGGCTTCAAATTATTTTAGCAAGCCATGCCTTGTGCCTGGATAGAAGAGAATTCATTGATAATTTATGGAAATATCTACTATAATTCAATGGAGATTTTTCCCCCCAGCTTTGTGCATCAATAGATAATCAAGGCCTCAAAGCAGCCTTAGCTTAGCATTACCTCAGGCCAAAGAATTCCTGAAAGCATGCCTTCGGGGCACCTGAATTATAGACACCATTAGGAGGGGAAGGCTTTCTGCATTCCATGAAGAACACTCTCTCAGAACCTTTCCTGTTTATTTCTGCTGTATGAAAGCAGAAACATTAGGGACAGAAACCACCATCGCCACCCCTTTTTGAAAGGGGAGGCTTATGGAGATACAATGGAAAAACCTTTCAAGCAAGACCCAGATCACCTCCCGTCAGTCCCAGGCAGTGACCTATCCCAAATAAAAGATTTCTGTTACATCATTAGCTCAAGCCAAAAACAGCCTTGGCTTAATGCACAGTTTGTTCTTCCTACTGTTTTTAGGCAAATACAGCTACTTTACTCCCATCTGGGAGGGAAATTACACTGCTGGGCTGTAATCTAAGACAAGATTTTCATTGGAAGCAAATGCTTTCAATCCCATGTAAAATACTTGTGCACGCTCAGAGAAGCTTAAAACAATAAACTCCAGCCCAGTCCAACAGAAGATAAAAGGATAAGAGGGGGAAAAAGCAAATTAATGAAACCAAGGTCCTTTAGAAGAAATTACTTCTATAGATTTTAATGCAATTGTTTCTGGAGGAGGGGGGGAAGGATTTGGAAACTTGATTCTTTGTAAAAGAAAAATCTCAGCTAAAAGTCTAAACAGCATGTCCATTCACTCTGCAATTCAATACTGTCACCTCTATAAGGTCTCTTGAGAATACTTTTCCTCTTCTGCTTTCTCTACCCTACTTTTTTAAAAACAACAACAACAACAAAAAAAGGACTCGAAGACTGGCTAACTAACCACATGGTAGCAACTATGAACCACGTTTGTGAAATGTCAGCAGTGACTTCATGCTTGAAGTTGACTTCTCCCACTGCCAATGAAGGCAAGCTGAAAAGGTGGAAATAATCATAAAAATGATGCTAGTCCATAAACAAGCTTACAGCCTCATTAGTATAGCAGTAGATTCCACTGGGTGATTTATACTCGTTTTGCTGATGCCATGAGGAAATGCCATAGGGCAACTTCAGCCAACTCCTAATGGTTTCTGACAGCTTCTTAGCAACTAGTGCAAGCAACGCTGTGGCGTTTGCTAGTAAGAGAAACTGAAAATGTCATATTATCTGTCCATGTGCCACAATGTCCATGTGGCAATTAACTAGTAGTCCAGTGACTGAGGGGCCAGAGGCTTTTAAAAATGCCCCTTGGCTATATAAGGGCATTGCTTGAATTTGTGTTGCACATATATGCAAGTTTCTAATGCAAAAGTCTGGTTGTCACTGGCATCTTTCTCATGGCCATTGATGAGTTGGCCTGCACAATAGGCTCTTGGAAGAGCATATTTTGGGAAGGGGAAGGGAAATCCATTTCCTTTCTTCTTTCAACACTAATGACATTATCAGAGTAATTTAGCCCTTAAAAAGTACCTTGATAAGCCTTGCTTGTAAATAAACTTTGCTTGCAAAATACCTGGACCCCTGCTTTTGAACAATGAGTGGATGACAAAAAGAGCTAGTTCTTTTTCTCCTTTTTCACAAATTAGTCTAAAAGGATTTGAGATCAGTGAAGCAGACTCATTGCCTGCGAAATTGCTAGAAGCATAAGAACTCAACATAGCAAGTAGAAGACACTATTTAATCAAAACAAAACAATATAAAACACATACATCACAAATCTTACAACAACTAAAATGACAGCTATGGCTCTACAGTGCACTTTCTCAGATCTCGAAATAATGCAACATATGTTAAACTTTTTAACCCTTTTAGTGTGGCCTTTTGATCTTTCAAATAATATTTAAGTATTATTTTTAAAATACTTTTCAGGTTGTGGTTTTGTGAAAGGGGACAACTAACCAAGATATTTGTACAACAATCTGCCCACATACAATTCCTCACAAATTTGGGGCCTAACCCGCAGAGCAGGGCAGATGACCTGTGACAACTCACAGATTGTCCTGAGGCTCAGATTTCAAACGCACTTACCTCAAACAACTCAGAGTTGCCTATTTAAGCATACCCCAGCATTTAGGCTGTGCTATCTTGTTTCTTTCAAGACAGGATAAAGAAGCATTTATTGTATTCAGGCCATTCAGTGACTCAGACTGGCCATGTCAGCAGGGGTTCCTCTCGTTCAGGTCAAATCTCTACCCTTTCTCTTCCTAAAAGGTCCCCTTTGGTTCTCTTGATTGTCCCTTTTTACTTCCCCTCCCTCCCAAGAAAGTTACACACAGAGAATATATAGGAAAAAAAATCCTAGAATTCCATTCTTCAGCAACATTACATTGAATGAGCTCAGGCTCGCAATGAATGCCAAAAATAACAAAAAAAGTTCTTTGACTTTTCTCTTGTTTCTTACATACCCCCCAAAAAGATTCTTTGGGTATGTGAGGAACAAAAGTCAAGGAAAATGTCTGTTGGTTGGAGAAGATGGCATGATGGGCAAAGAGAACAGGAAGAAGGCTCAAATGTTAAATTCCTATTTTGCACCTACTTTTTACAAAAGAAAAAAAAATGTCAGGAACTATATCATATGAGAGCAGAAGAAAAATGAAGATTCAAATAGTCAAGGAAGTAAAATGAAAATACCTAGTTGTTTTGTGTGAATTCAAGTCACTAGGAATCAGACAGATTATATTTGAAGGTACTAAAGGGATCAGTGGGTGTGATCTCAGAACCACTGATTGTAATAATTTAGAAGTTATTAGTAGAAGCTAGCATAGGTTTATTAAAAAAATTGTTTGTCCTAGACAAACCTTGCTACTTTTTTTTTGACAAGTGACTAGTTTAATAAATAAGGGAATGTATATGTAATATTTCGCTAAGCATCTGGTATAGCTGATCATAAGACTCCTTCTTGATGAAGTGGAGTAGTTCGGGACAGGGGAATCCTATTATGAGATGAATTCATAGTACTGAAGAAGCAGCACGTGGTTCTTAATGGATCCATCTTTACACAGAGGGAAATATATCAGAGCTTTGTCCTGAGCCCAGTGTTCTTCAATGTTATTATAAATAGCTTCCTAGATAAGGCGAGAGAGGGACTCAGAGTATACATGTATATTGACAGACTTAAACATTTATTCTGTGGGATTGCTAAAACTCTAGAAGAGAGAAATATTGCCCCAAATCACCTGGATAAGAGAGAAAAAGGGTTTGAAAGTAACAAAGACCTCTGAGATCCCTTCC